CACTACCAATACAATTAATTAAATACAATATTTAGTTTAGTGTAACATAGTTACTGGTGGATTTAATGAGAAGACTGCCTTACTTCAATGAGTGGTGTGTTTTGTGACTTTATTCCCAGATATTTCGATCATTTAAGTAATCTTAGACTCTTTAGTATCCTTTGCTCATCAGCGTATTTTTCACATGAGTTTTTAGTTTATGAAGATGTAACTAGGTAACAATTAAAACACAGCTTTAAACTTTAATCTTGACAGCAGTCTGTCTATGCGTAAGTACCTTTTCTTTAGAGAATGAAAAGAATAGACTGCTCTCAAGACTGCTGACCTGCTGACCATGCTACTGGCATTCAACAAGAGAATAATTTAAGAACAAAGCCCGCTTTATTTCATATTTCTCGTTTTTACGTTTTTACTAGAGTATTGGCGTTTTTATTGGATTGTTCTAACATTTGAATATTTTGCACTAATTTCGAAAATCGCGTCAGCTTCCTCCAGGGCTGTATTTAGAGGCGTGGAGGGTGGAGGCCCCTTAAACTCCTACATTACTAGTGAAAATACAACAGTATATCCTTGCATGTTCTACGAAAAAAAGCAAGGAAGTTCTAAATTGATGAAAGCACAATAAAAAGGAGCTACATAATTTCAAAGAATTGTGCCAGAAAACTGTTTTTACACGTATCGTGAAATGTCATTAATGTCATATATATATATGAATCGTCAAGGGAGTTTTTTGGCGGGATTTCATCGAGTGCGGTTGGTGTCTTAATTTAATTATTCTTAAATATGTTCATAGTGGATATTGTGAAATAAAATTGGCGTGATTTTGTGTTACAACCGTCTCTGCAACTGAAGAATTAGTGGAATCTTTAAAATATACGCTATTCCGGTCAAGTGGACGTGAGAACTTTATTGTAGTATTGACTACCTCACAGAAGCTTATCGAAAAAGCAAACTCGATATATTTCGTGCCAAACACTCCAAGAAGCATTAGAATGCGTCACACCCACATTCTAATGTAAAAGAAAGGAAGATTAATACAAAAATGAGACGATGGCTGCATGGCTTTGCCTTTGCCTTTCTCAATAGAGAAGAATAGAACTAAAAAAATGTCTATCAAGGAGTTTTTAGCGGGATTTCATCGAGGAGGTTTTTGGCGGGATTTCATCGAGTGCGGTTGGCGTCTTATTTTAATTATTCATTTTGTTCATAGTGGATATTGTGAAATAAAATTGGTGTAATTTTGTGTTACAACCGTATGCGCAACTGAAGAATTAGTAGAATCTTTAAAATATACGCTATTCCGGTCAAGTGGACGTGAGAACTTTATTGTAGTATGTACCTCACAGAAGCTTATCGAAAAAGTCAACTCGATATATTTCGTGCCAAACACTCCAAGAAGCATTAGAATGCGTCACACCCACATTCTAAAGTAAAAAAAAGGAAGATTAATACAAAAATAAGACGATGGCTGCATGGCTATGCCTTTGCCTTTCTCTGTAGAGAAGAATAGAACTAAAAAAAAGGGATTTCATCGAGTGCGGTTGGCGTCTTATTTTAATTATTCTTAAATTTGTTCATAGTGGATATTGTGAAATTAAATTGGTGTCATTTTGTGTTACAACTGTCTGCGCAACTGAAGAATTAGTGGAATCTTGATTGTTTTTACCGATTGAAACTGTTGTGGAACTAATTGAAAATATACGCTATTCCGGTTAAGTGGACGTGAGAACTTTATTGTAGTATTGACTACCTCACAGAAGCTTATCGAAAAAGCTCTACATATTTCGATACAATATTTCGTGCCAAACACTCCAAGAAGCATTAGAATGCGTCACACCCACATTCTAATGTAAAAGAAAAGAAGATTAATACAAAAATAAGACGATGGCTGCATGGCTTTGCCTTTGCCTTTCTCAATAGAGAAGAATAGAACAAAAAAAATGTCTGTCAATGTTAAACTGGTGGGCGATTTGTTATCGTCATGGAGGAAAAACAAAGAGGAGGTGTGGTGATTAAATTTTCTCAAGAAACGACGCGTGATAATTTGCGGGATGCGGGGTGTTCAGCTCCGCCCACTTCTCAATATTTCATCTATCGGCTAATAGCAAAACTAGCTTAGGTTGATATTTATGTTACTACGTAGTAGTTCAGCTATCTAACACTAGATGTTCAAAAGTTTTGTATATAATGGGACGTACTCAGAACTTGAAGCTTCAAAAAAATGAAATATGTAGGTAAATAAATAAAATAAACGTTAACAAATTTGACCGATTTTAAAATTTTTAAGGTATAATTTTTATTATTTTAAAACATGTTACTGCTTGATGAAAAAAAATCCAGGCAGACGGGACTCGAACCTGCACCCGCTCCCGTCTGCTTATTGTCCGCGTGGATATTTTTCTAGTTATATTTTTTTTAGATTTAAATTTTAAGGTAGTTTAAAAATAATAGACAAAATTTTATTACAAACATAATTTTATTAAAAAACATCAATTACCTGTAAATAATAGTTTTGGTTAGTTGTTGTCGGTTGGTTGCCCTATCGTTTTGTATTGTGGCAAAATGCTTAAAACGAATATCAATATATTTTTCTGCAATCGATTTCATCAGAAATACAACATGATTAACTGTAGGTGATTGGTCAAACATATGGTTGGCCGATTTTTTGAAACAATCTTGTCCAATAAGTGATTTTAATGTATTCGATACAATTTTATGTTTACGAAAGTTAGGAGTATTCAAAGATTGCGATTTAACACAACGAATACTGCCTTCGGTCCGTATACATATTTTTATGACATCTCTAGATGGGAAAGTAAGGCCACCCTTATTTTTAGTTTTTATCAAATCAAGGTCACTATCGTCGTAGTTATCAGCATATAATTCTTTGAGACAGCTCTCACATTTGATCTTGGAATGTAAATATTTGACCACATACCCAGAAATATATGCTACTATTTGACGGCGCAAATAGTCACCTATAGTTGTATTTAATTGTTCATCAAATTCCAATAACATATCGTCAGGCATAGGCTCGACATCCGTGCTATCCGAAGACTCGAAACTCATTTTATTTAAAATGCGATAACGTTCTGATGTAATATTAATTTTTTGCACAGAAGATTCATTTAAAATGGAAATATCTTCTTCTTCTATGGTGTCCAAACCGGTCTATTAAGTTTTGAAATCCATTGCTGTTTTAAATTATCGTTGGATGGAAATCTAAAACGAACATAAAAATAATTAAAATTTATTTACTTGGTAAAATAATTTAATACGTATTACGGCCCTGGATATTTGTAACGTTTATAAAGTTATTCTATATGACGACAGATGGCGGCCAGTTAGTAATATATTGATAAAATTACTGTTTTAGATTCTAAAAGTTATTTAGGAATAAGTGTATAACAGTTTTCAGTATTTACGTATGATTATTACAATATACTACTGCAAAATTGTACGTAAACTTGTGTATTTTCTTCCTAAAAGTGTCGCCATCTGGTGTCAAGTAGTAGAATTTTAACGCTGATAGCTGAGGCTGAGAATGTTCTAGAACTTATATATTTAATTACGTATAAAATTACTTACAAATGAAATGTGATGCCATCCATATTATCAGAAAGTCTGTCTGAGTAACTTTGACATAGTAAAACACAAAACTTCATCCTTTTCTTGTTAAAAACGCAAAAAAACACTTATAATGCGAGTCTCGTTAAGTGTGCACCTGACGAACGCTGAAAGCATACTGACTTAGGCCCCGCCCACAATGATGACGTCAGGACCTAGTTGAAAATCACAGTGCACAGTTGCTTAGGCCAGCTCCTCTTTGTTTTTCCTCCGTGGTTATCGTTTGATACTAGAGATGGGTCGGATTAGGTTAGGTATACCTGTTCCAACTTATTCTAATATTAAAAAAATATCTAGTCCAGATTAAATTAAAGAAATGGTAACTAGATAATTTTTTTTACAATGTAAAAGAGTATTTTCGATATTTTTAATAGCATTTACCGCCGATAATGAATATTGTACGGTAGCTGTTTAGAACTAAGACATTACTTGTAACACCATTGTACTCAGCATCACAATAAAACTTTCTATTTCTATTTCTAAATACCTATTCCGAATATTTATGCGCTATCTCCGTACGTATGGGGGTACGACGATACGATATTGTGTGTATTCAATGTGGATTAGGTATGAATTGGATTTGGATTGGATATCTATTTTGAAAATAACATGTTCTCTTCCGTTGTTCTCCCTCCAAAACTCCCTGTTTTTTCTATACTAGGGATCTTTGAAGAGTATAATAAATTCATTTCTAAAATAACTCTGCTAAGGAAATCCACGCGCGCTTGCTTGCATATTTTATCTCAGTATTTCCAAAAACGAGAAAAACGCGGGTGAAACCGCGGGGCACGTCTATAATATATATTTTGGCAGGCGTTCGGTGAAAAATGAAACATACCGTATCATAAAAATATATCAAAATATATATTAATATATCAAAAAACATACAAACATACCGTATCATAAAAATATATCAAAATATATATTAATATATCGGCCGCACGACACGCAGGGCTGGGGCGGCGGCTGAGTATCAGGCAACGGCGAAGCGCTTAAAATATTCCTCGTTGGGGCAAGGATATATTTTCGTGCCTTTGGCGGTGGAAACGGCGGGTTGTTGGAGCGCAGAGGCCAAGCAATTTGTGTGGGACCTGGGCCGCCGACTCAGGCAAAAAACTAATGACCCTCGCTCCGGGTCGTTTCTGGCACAAAGATTGTCTATTGCCATCCAGCGTGGCAATGCTGCAAGCATAATGGGCACCTTTGCGCCAGAAACGATACGGGGTGATATTTGAATATTATTAGTATTTGTATATTATTCTTGTACATAATGTTAATTTTAGTTATTATATTATATTTTTAAGGTTTTTAGTTTTAGGTTCATTGTTACAAGTTTAAGAATTAAATATTGTTTATATATCAAAATATATATTAATATACCAAAATATACACTAATATGCCAAAATATATCTGTCGACATATTTTGGTGACGTCATAGAAATATATATTATAGCTGCGTGTGCGGTCACTCGAAAATTTATATTGAAAATATGTTGTAATATGTCTTGTTATGATTCATATTAATATATATTATAGCTACGTCTGTGACGGGCTTTACTCGAAATATTTATTTGACGCCTCAGATTAAGTAACACCTAGTATCAAAATATACCTACTCCGATATTTATACCTCTATTTGATACCAAAACTTCAAATTTTGCAGTTTATTTATTATGTTGTTGTGGTTAATATTAAATTTAGTTTTTATTGATTCGCATGGAGTGGTTGTAGCAAACTTGGTCACTAAATAGTTAGTCTTATGTTGTAACTATAGAGTAAATATTGCATTACGTGTATTCATCATATTAATCATCAGTTTGGTTTAGTTCTGTGAAGTGAAACCAATGCCCAGATAGATACAATGGTTATTTTTGGTGTATACATAGTGAGCAAATCCGGGGGTCTCATATATAACTATGACCACAACATTCCCAAAGTTGAAACTGAGAAAACATTTGGTTTTCCTTTGGACCTCAAATTGCAATATGAAAACAAAAAAATTGTTGTTGCTTTTGGACAGAGAGATGGAATAAATGGTAACTTATTTTCTTTCCATACTGTCTGATACTATTTTAGAATTTATAACTATCAATTTAATTAATCTATTCTTCTAGTTGGACATGTATTACTATCTGTGAATGGAACACCAGTTACTGGACGCACCACAGAAGACGGGCGAGATGTTTTTGATCTCATAGAAGTGAAGGTAAATAAATAAGAAATTGCCATTTTCCTCCGCACAATTTATTTTCCACAAGTATTGATTTCCTGTAAGAAATTCTTTGCATTATGAGTTTTCTAGGTTGCACTATTTTTGGCATACTTTCTTGTCCACTCTTAATCTATAAATATTCATCTGTTCTATCAGATTAATCTTAGTTTAAGAGAGATCATTCAGGGCCATAGCCATAATTGCCATAATATATAAACTGCAACTCTTCAGCAGAGCAGCGGAAATCACAAGTAAGGCATAAGCAGGAGTATACACCACCATTTGCAGCCTGCCACGTTTTAAAGTAGGGCATTGCCCCATAATTAACACTCCCATCCCCCAGCTACAGCCCTGAAATCATAACAAAAAGTAGTTTTCCCTCTCTTGCTTTTCATTTAAAAGATATCATTCTGGGCTGTAGCCAGAGTTGTATCTAAGTTGCAACTCTGCAGCAGAGCAGAGGTAGAATTACAGGTAGGGCATAAGCAGGGGCGTGCCACCATTTGCAGCCTACTGCCACAATTTAAGGAAGGGCATAATTAACCCTAATGCTACGGCCCTGAAATTATTACAAAAAATTGATCTCCCTCTCTCGCTTTTCATTAAAGCTTGCTAATTGTAGTTTTCTATTCACAGGAAAATTATCCACTAAGTCTAAAGTTTGGTAGAGCCAGAGCAACCACTAATGAGAAAATAGTCCTGGCCAGTATGTTTTACCCGTTATTTGCTCTTGCCAGCCAGCTGAGCCCTGTTCCCAAGTCTTCAGGGATTGAGTCTCTAACTGCAGATACCTTCAAGTTGTCCTGCTTTCAGACATTAACAGGTGAAATTTCAATCATTTTATTAAAGGTTGGAGGTGTGTAAAGTTATCTGTAGCTTTTGTCTTCAGAGCAAATACTAATGATTCTTATAATTGATCTCTTAATTATTTAACACAATGTAATATAAGAGGGGTGATGACTCGTAAAGTAAAGAAGTTATATTTAGTCCAACAGCTACATTATCAAAAAATAGTGGACACATATTTTCCTTTTGTGAAATTTAACAAATAGGGGCTCCCAATACCACTTCTAAGTGAAAATTGTACCTTGATGTCAATACTTTTTAATAATGTACCTGATTGGCTAAGAAAAAAAATGCCGTTATCCCTATTGTTATTTGTTGTGAACAAATGAATATGAATATCTTTTTACTATTTCAGGTGTCAAATTCATAATAGTGACAGATCCAAATATGCAGGGAGCAGAAGTGGTGTTAAAGCGAATTTACGAGATATATTCTGACTATGCTCTCAAGAATCCGTTCTACTCACTGGAGATGCCCATCCGATGTGAACTGTTTGACACTTCCTTGCATACATTACTAGAACTCGTTGAGAAATCTGGAACTACTAATCTATAGTCATTTTATTAAGTTATATACAAGTGTTAAGCTTGTATGATAAAACTATTTAATGAATATTCAAGACTTTCAATTAATTCAATACTCTATTCTGATATTTATAATAATTTTGTATTAATTAGTAAATATTTACTACTTACTTACTTTACCTCTCTGTGCACAATATTTTGGACGACAGCTTAGATTTTGTATTTCTTCAATTAAAAGATTTAGGTGTTCATGCGAAAATAATTAGGAGTGTAGTTTGACGACCTCCATGGCCGAGTGGTTTGTACGCCGGGTTTCATGGTGTCGGAGGCAGATGTTTGTACGAGCACTTGTACTCCAGTCATGGATGTTTAATATGAATTTCTATATAATATACCTATATATTTACAGTGTATGTATTCTATCCATTACCCTAGTATCCCATAACACAAGCCTTACAGTGCTTACTTAGAGGCTAGGCTAATTGGTGTGTGTTGGAAATATTTATTAGCTATTATCGTTCAAGTTATACTAATCTGTAACGACTTGGAGGTCAATTTCCTAACGAGATTGCTATGGCTATCACTATCGCTGACGATTTCATTTTGTTATTTCTGACCCCCGAAGGTTTTCAAATACCTTACGCTCATTTTATTTAATATTGTTATTACCAATGCAAAAGAAAAAAAAACGAGCGCGATACTCCAAAAGAGAGATATAAGTAGGTAAATACTAATAGCTTACAACATTTTTAATTTACAATTTTATATTTTACTAGCTGACCCAGCGAACTTCGTACCGCCATAAAAAAATAGGGGTTGGTGGTAGAACGTAGAAAAATAATGAAGTCTTGAAAGTACATATTATTCTCTCTTTGTGCCAAATATCATCCAAATATTCAGCTATTAGTGTGACGGTAATGGTTAGTTCATATTGTCACAAACGCTCTCAAAACGGAACCGCGAAAGTACTAGAGATCGAATTTGCCAGATCACCGCGGGTCGCGATAGAGGTCGAGTAAGGCGGCTCATTCTAAAATGAGCCTTATGCAGTGCGGCGTAAGGGAGAAAGTGCAACGACATCTGTACTTGTTTACAAGTTATGCGCGTTACCTGCGTAGGTATAAGTAAGTACTGGTGTCGATGCTGGCAGGATTCTATAAACTTAGAACTAAATTTAACATCAGTCTGTCCTTTTCATTCTGTATAGAGAATGACAAAGATACACTGTTGTCAAATTTAAGTTTAGCTTTAGAGAATCATGCCAGAATCGACATCACTTTGTACTCACGGGTGCTAGCTAATTCTTCGGCGCATATAAGCGCGATTGGCGCCGCCCAGAGACAGTTGAGTTTCAACAGCGATTTCGGAGCGAATCCAAAGGCGATCAAAGTGCAGCAAAAGTGTTCAAGTGCGATAGTTTAGAGACTTGTATAGAGAAATACAGTGTTTTGTAATTAACATTGTGTGAACTGTGTGGTGAATAAAGAACTGTCAAGCGTGAACTGGCATATAATTTCGAAAACCCATCCCGACACGTAACAATATTACCGCGAAGACGAAGCGGATTACAGAAACGTAACAAAGCAAATTCACCATTATGTCCGCAACGTAAGGTACATATTCACTTCTGAGGTAAAAAGACCTGCGCGCATTTAATAGGTTTGCTTCAGATTTACTGATTATTATCAACTCGGAAAGAACATGTGCATTACCTTGTGTGCGACTGACTGGAGAGCCGCTACAGCTGTTTAATATTAATTTTTAATTGTTTTTTACCCATTCCTTTTTTTACTTCTAATATCATTCTGTCACTTATTTTTAATGGGGATGATGACTATTTTTTTTTCTTCGTTTATCAGGTAGATTATCAAAAAGTATTGGACACATATTTTTTCTTTTTTCACATAATATAAACATTGCAGAGATATATTGATTTGAAAAGCCGCATGACGTCACGTTTGATTACACTTTTATGTGAAAATTCACTCAAAAGTAACGTCACGAGCCCCTACTCCCAAACTTTGACGCGCTATGACTTTGTCATTTTTTGGTTGATTGCCCAAAGCAAAAATACGTGCCCATTATTTTTTGATCATCTAACTGACGGACTAAATAGAATTTCGTTTACTGTACCCCTGTCCTGTGTGTTCGCTCGTTTCTTGCTGTGTATATAAATATAATATATAATGTTTCATTCAATACATCGTACAATATTAAATTATCAACCATTTATGAGCAATGAAATTGACACAGTAAGTCTCTTTAAACCTCTATCAGCACCAAATAGTGAACAAATAGGGAACAATAAGCTAGTTATCTTAATCTATCTATTCCTTCAATTATCTCTACTGATCGAAAAGACTTACAACCCTATGTGAGTTGATTTCCCTGGAGCTCTTATTTTTGAATTACTCGCCTTACGTCGAACGCTCGATTTTACTAATTTTGATTGGACATAATAAATTCCGTATTTTTGAATCACTCGACGCCAACGAGCGGTCTCCACCACTCGTTGCGCGTTGGCGAACGATGGAGGTGAATGGTAGAATAACTGTCAATTTTATGTCAGATATTTTCAAGTTTTTTTCTCAATCTTTTTAAATACAGATAGGTTGACGATTTGTTGCGACGTTTTGATCTTTTCTAACAAAAAAAAAGGTGAAAGATTAAATAACCAGTTATTGAGAATTATACGTTTATTTTTCCCAGAGGTAATGACTGCTTTTTATCGTGAAATTAATAAAAATAAATATTTTGTATTAAACTGCTAACACTGTAGCTGAATGATTCAAAAATATGGAAAATCAGTATCATGCGACTTGGAAGTCGAAAGTGACTTAAGTCGCATTCGACGATACTATGTCAGGCGAGCGAATCAAAAATAGAGCTCCTGGTCTCTTGTATATGTGGGTATAAATACTAAACGAAAAGGGTTTCAAAAACAAATAAAACAAATTTGGTTTACAATAAAAAATTTATTGATATAATCATTATTTATTTATAACAATTCAAACCGAGGCAGAGTTGATCTCCGCTCATCAAATTGGCGCCCACCGTGTTAAAGTTAACATTACTATGTATTACCGAACGCTCCTTTGTACTTGCTATACGCACACACACGACACTCACACGATGACATTATTGCCTGATATTTGGTACGCGTGCGGACCCCGGGACAGCCTTTGTGCAAACTACGTCTACCATTAGTATTCTACAAATACAGTAAAACCTCAAAAATAAATTTATAAAACCATGTTAACAATATCACCGTCGTAATAAAGTAATAGGGTGGGGCCGCCCCGGGGCCCGGGACACTAAGCACGTTATACTTAACAAGCTCCTCGAATTAAGTTTACGAATAAGGCTATACTTCTTAACCAAAGTTGCACAGTGAAATTTGGCCTACGTAGACTGTTCGTTACAAAATGGGATTTACTGGAAAATTTTAAAGTATAACGGCTTCGTCGATTGTCGATCTCACGAGAGAGATTCGCAGCGATCGGTACAAAAATAAGAGCCGCGAGCGGTCTCCACTATAAAATATAACATCTGCGCGCTATTATTATAATTCGCGGCACGAAACTCTAGCGAAGACGATGTGTTGTAGGGAAACGAGGTGCGCGGGTGGCCATCTTAGATTAACACAAAAAGGGTAGATACGGTACGCTCATACTAGCATCAAATAAAATATGATCCGACTCAACTACATAAGCAACTCTCGCCACGCACACGTCTGTATATAAACATCAATCGAGCGAGCGAGACAGAACTATACGCTTCAACGCAGCGTGTTGTTGTCCTTTTCTTGCTTACAAAATGGCGATTACGTAAATAATATTCACGACAAACCGTGATTTTTGAGAAAAAAATGTTTTCACAGTTTTACAGATGAAAAGTGTTGCCGGGGCATTTGATTTTGAACTGCGTTCTTTATAAAGCATCGAAGCCATTGTTACATCTTCATAACACAGAATATACGTCATATTGTTATATTGAGTGTACATGCAGCGTGTTTGAATGTCAAATTGTGACTAAAGCGAATTATGGTCGTGGACCACAATTTAAGCGGATCACTTTTGAGCCGCGAATGCCGTATCTTCCCTTTTTGTTTTAATCTAAGGTGGTCATGCCCTGCGCCGATTGTCTTTCCAGTCGTACCCATGCGCAAGCGCAGCTATCCCTGACGAGTTTTGTTCAGCGCTAGAGTTACGCGCCGCGACCTGTAAGTCTTAATTAAGTTAGAACGGACCTATATAAATAAAGCAACATGGGCGCGCGCCGCGATAGCGCCGGCGCCGGCACGCCGCGTTAAAACTATCTTAACTCTCGCTAAATTTACGATAAACAAATTTTTAAGAGCACGTTAGTTAGTCTAATTTAAGGAAATAATAGTTAAATAACGTTACACACATCCGAGCCTAAGGTTCACTAAACGGTCGCGCGAGCGACAATGGACTCTGTTGCTATTACGAAAGATGTATTTATACAGTGGCACTTTACGTTTCAATATTATTCAAAAAGGTCTCCTCTGATAAAACTAAAGAGATCTGTCTCCATTTCAGTTTTCAGAACCATAACTTTGATTACATATTTACGTCTCCAAATAAAACATTTTACGGTCTCAACCATTGCATTACCGGCGGGGACGGTTAGAAGTACCATTATCAAAGGAGACCCGGCACTTTTCATAGAAAAAATGCTAAACTTGTATACAGTTGAATTTGGTCTCAAAATAAAGCCAAAATTATTTGCTACATAAAACTACTTTTGCCTTATTTTTAGTGAATCGTCGAAAGAAGTTATTTAATGATTAATATTTATTGATATAGAAACCCTTTTGATGACAAACCTACGTATTTGACATTGACAGCTAGATGCTGATGACAAATATTGCCAGACTACGTTACCCAATTATGAAACACAGATAAAAAAAAATTAAAAAGTATACAACTTTGGCACAAAATACCGGGTGTCCTTTCAAAGACAATAAAACCATAAACACGCTTTTAAATGACGCGACGTTTCAATCGTCGATTCGCAACCTTACCACTACGCACGAACGCCCTAAGAGGTTACCACTATCGCTAGTCTACACTACACCTAATCCGTTAAGAGCTCGGAACAGACTCTCTGACATACGCACTCTCGAACAAATTCATGGTCTGCTACTTCAAGACCAAAATCTCTTAAACATCGTAAACCCATTAATCTAGCCACTGTTGAGACACGAATCATTAAAGCCAGAAACATATTAACGTGTCGTGGCGTGACGTGGCGCATCGGTTTCATACATTTATTATGGGTTAGAGAGAGATAGAGAGGTTAAAGCGTCGACACGACACGATACGTAAATATGTCTCTAACCATAGTAAATGTATGAAACCGATGTGCTTCTGGCGCGCCACGACACGACACAACACGTTAATATGTTTCTGGCTTAAGGCTGACTTTCGCCCCCTTATTAATAAACAAGGAATAAACTTAAGACTAGTTACGCCGTGTATGTTCGATTCACTCAAATGCCATTAGTCATTGAATAGAAAGAGAAAACATGGAATAACTAATCCAAGCTTATTCTTCCTTTAATAATGAGAGGGTCAGAATTTTGGCTGCAACATCTCTCATTACCAACAGGCAGATCATATTTTTTTCCGAGTGCGCATATATTCGCCCGCACCGAACTCAATTCTCCCTCCGACTTCCAATAACCCTGTTCATAATGCGATGGCCGCGGACCTCACTGACCACCGAGTACCATAAGCAAGTGATAATCTTTCTGATGATCAATGCAAAGCTTGTCAGTACGTTTTGCTGTCTGACCCCCCCCCCCCCCCCCCCCCCCACTTCCGCCTACTAGATAATAGCCAAACAAACGACGCGACATCGAGCAATCGAACCGATTAGGGCTCACACCCGAGGTAACGACGCAATCAGAACCGATTGTTGGTCAAGTTATGAGCATTTGCTCACACTGTGGCTGTGGCGCGCCTGCCCCGTCCACAAGGCTCTTCTAACCGCTTCCTGTGTGATTTTACACTTAAATATTTCAAAATGATGTATCAACTGTAATAGAACTTACAAAGTCTTTAACGTCTTTCTATGAGTGACCCTCAGTGATCATTGGCACGCTGGCTTTAAGGTAAATTATATATTATATCGAATCGCATAATTCTAGTCGCTTATAACAATTTATAAAAAGATTACCACTTGTCTATGGAACTAGAATTGAACTAGTGACAGTTTAACGGCCATACTATTCGAAATTATTGACACGTCGACATTTCGGGAGACTATTTCTATACCTACTCAAATAGGTCATGTCATGAGTCAATAGAGTACAATTTCTTTCATGCAATCCGATAGTCTCTGATGGTGATGAAATCGGTCAACACATACACACAGACACACGAATAATTTCCACCACCATTTCTACGCTTCCCCATATATTTGCTTTGTTCGTCTCTCATTCATTTAACATGTATGAATATTGCACAATTTGAATGGCACTAGATTATTGCACACTCTCAAATTTCGTCACAATCACCGGTTTTGCTTTTGCGAATTGAATCTTTTAATGAACCTACGCGGGAGGCACCTGTCACAACGTCGACGATAAGCGACAGTAGAGCAGTAGACTCAAATGAGGCCAATAACAAGTTTGAGAGAGAAAGAGCTAGAAACATTTGACAAACAGGAAGAAAGGAAAAATATTGAGACAATTCAAACGCAGTTATGCTTATAGCCCGTTTGCATGCCGCGATCAACTGATATTGGAATCAGATGACATTTATGCATGATTTGAGATATAAAGTGGTTTAATACAAATTAGGTTCTTCATATACAATTTATTAATAAAATTCTTTTGTATTTTTTATCTTTAAGACTGTATATTGCGATACCCTGACAGGGTTCATGTTAGGTACTATAAGCATTTTGTAACCATCTATGTAACCACATGAGTGCAATAAATTGAATTGAATTGAACTTTGTATAACAGTGCAACCTCGATATAACAAATTGGAAGGGAACAAGTAAATATTCGTTATATCGAGTAATTGTTTGAACTGAGATTTGTTATATTGAGGTTAGGTTGGTATAAAATTTGTCATAAAGGGGTAAAAAATAGTTTCCTTGCCTGACATGAATCACGTTCTATGGGATTGAGGGTCATATACAGGGTGTTACAAAAATACAAATAAAGCTTAAAAGGTGTTGAAGTACATCATATAAGGAATCATCTCTAATTTTCTTAAAATTTTTGCAATAAGTTTTAACTTTTTATAAAAACAGTTGTTTTTAATGATTAAAAAAATATCGATCTTTTTAAGACACATCACTAGTTCGAGGATCATTAAAAATAACTGTATTTTTTTTTAAGGTTAAAACTTCATTCAAATATTTTAAGAAAATTAGAGAAGACTCCTTATATGATGTACTTCATCGCCCTTCAAGTTTTTGTAACACCCTGTATTGATGAAAACGTTATATAGAGGTTTTAGGTTGACAAATTTCGTAAGTTAGAGGTATTTTCTCTTTTTTTTGTTGTTGTTTTTTGATAGTTGAAAATTTGTTATAAAGAGGTTGTTCGCAAAAAATGTTCGCAATGTAAAGGTATATTTGTGAGTGTGTAGTAGGTAGTAAATGTTATATGTAAAGGAAAATTCAAGGGGATTACGAAGAATTTGTTACATTGAGGTACGTTATATTAAGGTTGCACTGTTAAGGAATAAAAAAAATCTACAGCTCGTCGCTCAAACGTCAGAGGTAAGACAAGTGCCATAGTGCCGTTTACTTAATACAACAGAGTCGCTTATTCTACAACAAACCAATACAATAGTCAAGTTGAGCGATCGGTGTTTCTATAAACATTGTCAATATTATAATTATACGAGCTGCATCACACTTACTGGCCGGAGTTAACGAAACACACATTATTAGTTTGCATATTATGAACCTAGCTAGCCGAACAAAGTGGGAGTTTGGGGGCGTCCATAGATTACGTGAGATGTTTAAGGGGAGGAGGGGGTCGAGTCAAATCTCATCTAATCTTACGTTGGAGAGACGGGGGGTCTCGGCAAATATCACGCAATATTTTTTCACAGTCAAATCTCATCTAATCTGACGTTGGAGAGAGGGGGGGGGGGGGGGGTCTCGGCAAATATCACGCAATTTTTTTTCACAGTCAAATCTCATCTAACCTTACGTTGGAGAGGGGGGGGGGGGGTCTCGGCAAATATCACGCAATTTTTTTTCACAGTCAAATCTCATCTAACCTTACGTTGGAGAGAGGGGGGGGGGGGGGGTCTCGGCAAATATCACGCAATTCTTTTTCACAGTCAAATCTCATCTAATCTTACGTTGGAGAGAGGGGGGGTCTCGGCAAATATCACGCATTTTTTTTTCACAGTAGTATCTATTAAGTATTCTATTGTTAAATTTTTATTACACTTGTAACTCTCAGCAATATTGATTACTAGTCTTAACTAGTCGTAAATAAAAGCACGAAGCATTTTTTCTTTTCTTTTTACAATAACAATCCAAGGCGTTTACGAAAGAAAACCACATTTTGAAAAATCTCACGTGAGATTGGGGGATGGGGGAGGGGGTTGAATAAAATCTCACGACATCTGGGAGGGAGGGACAGAAAATCCAAAAAATCACCTCAAGTAATTTATGGACGGCCCCTTTACAAAAACACTAATAAATATCTATTCAGCTTGTCGGAACACTCAAAGCAGCTAACGGTGAAGTAAAAACAAATTGTACGGATATGTTCGTTACAGTTTGAAACAACCTTTCGTCTTATGTTCGACAACAATTTATTAATAACACACGTGTCATAAACGGCAGCGTCGGTACGCGGTTAAGCGAATATCACGTCATTAAATCGTTACGTTTCTGTATGAAAATATAATCTGAGTATTTGGCACGAGATTTGTAAGTATTCGGTTAAATTGTGCCGTTTTTGTCCATTACATTGCACAGTGGCGCCCCTAGCGGGCAGTATTGGAAACGCGCGGAGCTAAAACGTCAGAGTTTAAAGTTTACGAATACCATCAAAAGTCGTACTGGGCAATATGACGACCGTTTTGACTTTATATAGTCGGCCCGCGCTGCGACCTGCCCGCCCTACTACGTCCGTCCGTCCGTTCGTCCATATAGAGATACTCCCTCGAAGGCTACATAAGGTGAGAATTAAGTTCCCACCATAAATACTTGACTAACCCTATACATTAAATTTAAATAGTCTGGTCAGCGTTTTTGTTTTTTCATCCGAATTCGAAACCCCTAACACACACGATAAAATCTATATTCTGATAGCTCACAACATTTTAAAATTGTATCGTTACAGTTTTACATATAAATACATAAACATTTTCCATCCATAATTGAAAAAAATAAAAAAACTGACTCGTCATATATCGTCTCGTATTATCAGTACATTATTAACAGTCTAAAATATATTTCGCAGTCTGGACCTCGCGCGAACGCCTTGTGGTCGACTGCGAATTTACATGATCGTTCGATTTACCTTTCACCCAAACTAACGTAGCTAACAAAATATAATATTCGTCATCTATAACATAAAATGTTCTAGTTTCATTGCAGTACTGATTTGGGCCCTTAAAACGTTAAACGTCGAGACAGTACGACTACCCTCCAAACCGTCAATATATTTGATATAAATATCGCGTCAGTTGTAAGAACCCGCCATTCCGCTCTGGGCCCGCATGGTGGGTCATGGCCCAATCTTCCTATTCCATCTATGGGCAAGGCCTGTGCCCCAGCAGTAGGGATAGGATGATGATGATCGCGTCACGAGAAGTTTTCATCGAATTTTGACGGTAGTCAGAAAATCGGCAATAATAAAGTCATCCATATAAAACATTTTTTTGTTATTTATATGCAAATGGCGATAGTTACGAGTCACAGTGTTTTATGGAACCAAAAAAATTTACACCTTAAGATTTTTGCATAAATCAATTATTTATACCCTAATAAAGGCAAGAGTTCAATTCTCAGATCACTATTTCCAGTAAAAAAAAAGATATGAAGTAGCAAAGTTTTTGAAATTTGAGCATGAAAAAATTAACAATTTAATTTCCTCAAAAGACGGTTCCATATCTGTACATGAGATATTTGCCACTTGATAAGGAATTATTGAAGGCATAATTTTGCAATTTTATTTTATTTATAAGTGTCCTAGTTTCCGAGAAATATTTTTTTTTTAAATTTCGATTTTTAATTTTTTTTCTCCAAATATCGGCAAAAGTGGAACCTGGATTTAGTATAGAAAGGTTCTATAAGCCAAGTTCTATCACCCATAAAAAAATCAGGTTTCACTTTTGCGGTTTTAAGAAGTTATGACAGAATTTAGATAAAGGTCAACTTTCATGATCTAGGATTGTCACAAAGGTCAACTATGAGTTAAATGAAAATGTTAATTTTTTTGTTTGTTAATTAATACCGTCAATCAATTGAATAAATAAACAACACTTGTGGACGAATATAATATACTTACATATACTAGGTACCTACCTAATGTAGATGTGATAATGTAGGAATACTTTATGTTTGTTCGACCACATTTTAACTTTGTACCTTACACGCTAAACGGTAACGAAAAAATGAACTATGTTGCTTGAAAAAAATTTCAAAATTCATTCAGAATCATTCAGGCATTCGATCAGAAAATAAAAACAAATCTTGGGCATAAATCAGTTAGTAGGTGTAACTATTATTGTTACAAAAAAAAACGTAGAGGTAAGCAGGCATGAACTTGTGTCTAATTGGGTCTCCAAAACACACACAAAACAAACAATTAATAGTTAATACTCAGACCCGAAAACGAAAATCGATATTCATTATAATGACTTCCGCCTTGACTGGGAATCACCATAAGCGTTCCTTTTTTGCAAATAGAGCTTGGAGCCCATAAAAATATGTTAAAGGTACTGTAGTAAGTTCCTAAAATCTACATTATTGTAAACTCGTTCAAAACTAATACACAAATTTATATTTTAAAAATTTTCGTTCGAGGTCAGGTTCGGTGTCAACCCTAGCATAAAAATTTAAAAATGAATATCTTCTAATCGCCGCAAAAGTGACACGTGGCTTATTTATGTATGAAAGACCACATCCATAGGTTTATTCCTATCGAAGTTCTAGGTTCCACTTTTTCGTTTTTAGGGAGAAAAAACAATAAATAGAAATACAAAAAAAAATTGCTGCTCCCAAACCAATGCATTTTTTTAAGCTAAAGAAACGCGTTTATACGCCTCTGATTATGCCCGATTGACACATATTTATTAAAAAAATATATTGTTAATATTCACTTTATAAAAAAATATTCTAGATTTCATAGGTCAAAGGTCACGATAAGTTCATGATTTTTTTTCTCAAAAAGTATTCGAGTTAGACTTCTGGGAATTGAACTCATGCCTTTTTTAGGGTATAAATAATCTATTTATGTAAAAACCTGAACATGTAAATTTTTTTGGTTCCATAAAACACTGTGCGAGTATATAAATTAAACACTTTCATAATTCGGACGGTTCGGATGGGCACAGGTACTTTTAGAGAGCTTCTTGGCTACCCTGAACGTCTGTAAACGACTGTCCGTCTTTCGAAGCACTTGTCTAACTTTGATGAATTAAAATGTTTTTCACGGTTTCCGGTTGGATTGTTATAGTTTCGCTATTAAAGTTCAAAAGTGAAACAGAATCTCAAGAGAATATAAAAAAAAAAAATATTAATGTCAATCCGTCATCTTTGTTTGTCAAAGGTTGCGCGACATAGGACGCGCACCAAAAACATAACGAGGTCATTCATAGATAGATTTTACTCCTCACATTTTTCTCATACCGGGCCCCTTATATATGCAAATCGATTCTTAAGGAGTGAACTCGAAAAATATTTAGAATTTACGCAATGTTCTGTTTACGGACGTCCAAGGTCGACGAAGAGCTCAAACTATAGCGCAGCTCATCTTCGCAGTTCAAACGAGATTTGGGATTACACAGATTCCTTCCATATATTTCACAGGGGCGCCCATGAAACATATAGAGACAAAACAGGACGACCGTAGTTTTCTATAACAAAACTCGCAGTACTGGAAAAGAGCTTTTAGTTACAGATGTTCGGAAACAATTTTCGATTCGGTAAATATCGCTGTCTATGGCCAAAACTGTCAGGGTCAAATTCGTAGACACCTAACCAATACACAAATTCTGTGACATGCAATCTAAATATAAAACTCTAACATCGATTACTGGAATTTTTAACATTTGTCAAATAACCAAAGCTTGTTATTTCACAACACACTGGGTCTTTATGCCATATAACAACGTAATTAATTAAAACTTTAAACACAGCTTCATTTCAGACCATATTATGAAACTGCAAAGTTCCGTAATCGGTTTCCAATATTAGGTAATCTTTATTGACATTAGCGGGATAATAAATATAGGGCGCTAGGTGGCAACACTGATGCGAGAACTTTGCGCATGCGCCAAAGCCCTTACATTCTCACAAGTTTGTTAAGATCCACTCGCCACAATTTCGCTAAATCTCGATTCATATGGTTTTCGCTAGTAAGAATAGCTCGCCCTCTCCAATGTTTTAAATTAAATTAGTTATGTATGTTTCGGTTAGGGTACGACGAGGCTGGCTATTCATAGAATGAAAGCCTCTAAACAAAAAAAAACAAACCAGATTTAAGCCATACAATAATGTCAAATCAAAGCGGGTCAAATGTAGTTTTCAATAAATCTAGCTTTAGCAAGTTTACTGCAAGTGGGACTAAACGAATTCCAAGTCGAAAATTCTTCAAAGGACTCAATGCTGCAGGAGGTGTAAATCTTGAAAACCCGGAAAGCTTAACCAAAGTACGAACGTAGTCACAGTAAAGAGAGTTTGAAATCATAATTACGGACGCTGGTCGTAGAGGCGGGTCGGGTCGGGTCGGGTATTGTCGGGTGTGGTCGGATATCGTCGGGTGCGGTCGGGTGACTAAGGCTGCGTGGCGCGCGGGCCCCAGAGGCGCAGCGAGTAGTCGTCGGAGGCGGACACCAGCACGTCGTGATGCACCGGGTTCCAGGATACCGCATTGACGCACCGGGTGTGCCCCGACATCACCGCTATGGGCTCCTCGCCGTTTATGTGCCAGATGTATACCTGCGACACGACACATCAACGTCGTTAAGAGCCCTTTTACAAACGTAGATTTGAACTAGTATATATTGCATTTTAGGGGGGATGTTTCGAGTCTTATACAATAATTATTAATGAACTTATTATAAATAAAATTAAGGTAAAAAATACCTTTTTAAAAACAAGCTTTTATTCAAATGCGCTAAAAAGAAAAAAAGAAAATTTCAACTAAATTAGTTAAAGATATCTGTTTCTAAATAGATTTTCAAATTTTAGAAGTCCGCCATATTGGATTGAGAGTGACGTCACATTTTTTTCGAGTTACTCTCAGCAAGCCCTTTAATTTAATACCCATATTGTAGGAATGCATTAAAAATGATTGGTCCGCCATTTTGGGTATGCCGCCATATTGGATTTAGAATGACGTCACACTGTTAATCATGCATTGTCATCCGAACTGAACGAGTATACCAAATTTCAGCTTAATCGGTTGAGGGCAAGTGCTTTAAAATTGAGTTGTAAGATTTGACCGTAACAAACATACATAGCAAGTTAAATAAAAGCTTATAAAAATATATACATATTTTAGTAGTTCAATGATGGTAGATTAGTTTTATGAATGTTTTTGATAGTAATTCTATTAATTCAATATCAAAATACGAGGTAAACCTGCATTATTTTTTGGGAAAACTCACGGAGGTTAGATGTTTTTTTTTGATAATTAATGAGATGGAAAATCAAAATTGTAATACATTATGTTACAACAAAAACATATTTCTGATGTTGTATTAATTAATTTGATCTAATTTTTTGAACATTATTGAGAGATTGAGGCGTTTGAAATTGTGCATATTATCATTTTTTCCGTAAACTAGCTGCAGTGGAACGATCAGTACAAAAAAGGAAAGTACTATTTGCAAATATTCTACATTAACTTACAATAGGAAGAATAAATCTACTGTTTACTTCTATAAACGAGGTAAACGGTAAACGAGGCGCTCAAACATAACGATTTTTTGCAAAAAATGTGATATGGGTCTTAAAGGGCTTATTAAAGTGAATCTCGTTTTACGGACGGGGTGTACATGGAAAATCCTATAGAATGGATGGATTTGGCCGCTAAACGCGACAGACATGAATTTTCATACAACTTTTGCCGTCCGCTGCTCGCATGTGTGTGACCAGTACAGCAATTTCGATTTATCCCGAAGAAGGTTGTCAAAATAATGGTCACGTTTCCAAGCATGTTTGAGATACAGCACCTTGTTGTCCTCGCTGCCCGACGCGATGAAGTCTTGGTGCGCGCCGCGTGTATGGTGAAGTGCCCCTGGGACAGTCCCCGGAAGCGCCGCGCGCGCATGTTTAGATACAGCACCTTGTTGTCCTCGCTGCCCGACGCGATGAAGTCTTGGTGCGCGCCGCCTCAGGCCGCGTGTATGGTGAAGTGCCCCTGGGACAGTCCCCGGAAGCGCCGCGCGCGCATGTTTAGATACAGCACCTTGTTGTCCTCGCTGCCCGACGCGATGAAGTCTTGGTGCGCGCCGCCTCAGGCCGCGTGTATGGTGAAGTGCCCCTGGGACAGTCCCCGGAAGCGCCGCGCGCGCATGTTTAGATACAGCACCTTGTTGTCCTCGCTGCCCGACGCGATGAAGTCTTGGTGCGCGCCGCCGAAGGCCGCGTGTATGGTGAAGTGCCCCTGGGACAGTCCCCGGAAGCGCCGCGCGCGCATGTTTAGATACAGCACCTTGTTGTCCTCGCTGCCCGACGCGATGAAGTCTTGGTGCGCGCCGCCTCAGGCCGCGTGTATGGTGAAGTGCCCCTGGGACAGTCCCCGGAAGCGCCGCGCGCGCATGTTTAGATACAGCACCTTGTTGTCCTCGCTGCCCGACGCGATGAAGTCTTGGTGCGCGCCGCCTCAGGCCGCGTGTATGGTGAAGTGCCCCTGGGACAGTCCCCGGAAGCGCCGCGCGCGCATGTTTAGATACAGCACCTTGTTGTCCTCGCTGCCCGACGCGATGAAGTCTTGGTGCGCGCCGCCGAAGGCCGCGTGTATGGTGAAGTGCCCCTGGGACAGTCCCCGGAAGCGCCGCACGAGGGCGCGGGCCCTCACGTCCCACATGTGCACGCCCTGGTTGGCCACGTTGAGCAGCACCAGGGAGTCCGCCGCGTTCAGGGTCATCGCCATCACTGCGTGCTCCTCTTGGACGCTGTCAAACCGAACACTCGACAGTCACAACGAGAACTATGCACAAGTATAAATTCCGTCGCATAAAAAGGCCGCTGAACGATATTATTTTTATTTATTTATTTATTTCATCACCAACATAATAAACATTGACACGACAATATAGCAGGTGATGATAAAATACTTAAGCTTAATGTCATTACAATTATAGGTGAAGACCGCATGCGTTATGGAATAGAAGCAACAAATGCTGGTAAACTGTCAATGAAAAAGCCTTTAAAAGCTTTCTAAGTTAAAAAAAAATACACATAATCAACAATGTCCCGGTTAAAATCAATGCATTATAAGAAGCGTTATAATCGAATAAAGTCAACTTATATATATTATAAAAAAAATGAATCCAAATTAATTAGTCACAATAAATTACAGATAAAATTAATTTATAGAAATAATAACACAATTAAAATCAAATTACAATAAAATTAATTAAAAGGAGATGTCATATTAGTTTATTTTTGAAGTTGCAAATGTCACCCTTGAATAAGTCCAAATCTTTGCTCTTGCTCATTCTATTCAGCTCTTTGATCATTCTATTTATAGGCGAATTTTGTCCAAGATTAGATCGGCAGTAATATTATGGTTACAGTCGTGGCCGACAGTCGTAGCCTTTGTTTATTTGTGTGACAGATTCAGGTAGAACTGCAGGAGTAACAATAGGTTTTTGTATGTGACAGGGAAGAATTAATCGCGAGTCAGGAATCGCGCAGTGCGTATGTATAAAGCCAGCGGCCGTTTAGCGCGACGGGGCCTATACTGTGTTTTTACTTAACGATTAACTGCTAGAATGTTTGAATCTAGAAAAAAAAATACTAGAAAAAAATCCACGCATGCATTCGCCCGGATAGCGGAGAGTGCGGGTTCGAGTCCCGTCTGTTGCCGGGTCCGCGTTGAATTTTTTCTAGTACGTTTTTCTTTAAATCTAAAGTGAGACGTGTGCATTCACCTAATTTAGTGACGCACTTCCGAGATACGAATGCCGTATCTTCCCTTTTGGATTTAATCTAATCTAGAGCCTAGTGATTGGTGAAGCTAATCTCTTATCTATTAGACAAGTCCGTCCGTCCGTCCGTCTGTCTGTGAGAGATAGATAAAAAGAATAATTAAGTTATAAGTTAAGAATAGTCTGATAAGACTACAAACCGGATTTGAGTAACGTAGCACTTCCGGTTTTCGAGAAATCACGAATTTCAAACGAAACCACACAAAATCTCCGAAGTTCTCAATTAATTAAATACATTATTTTTTTTTAAATCAGGTTTTGGTGAACATTTGGTTCACTGGTTTGCTAGTTTTATATATGTATATCATGATCATGTGTGTGTACGTATACGTATACGCACAGGTTCCGGTCGGTGAGGTCGTGGAAGTCGTACGCGCGCACGCGGTAATGCGAGTCGGCCGCCAGTACGGTGCGCCCGTCGCCGCGGCATACTAGCGCATTCACGCGGACGCCTTCCCAGCTGTTCAGCAGGGCGCCCTGTATCAAACCGAAGATCGATTATGTTTTTATTTATTTTTAAGCATTTAACTGCTAGATGTTTAAATCGAAAGAAAAGTTTACTAGAAAAAAAAAACACGCGGGCCAGGCAGCGGACGGGACTCGAACCCGCACCCTTCGCAATCCGGGCGAATGCACTGACCATTATGCTACCACGGCCCTATTCACCGCGTCAAAATTTTCCTAGCCTTAAGCTGCAAGGCAGCGCCATCTCCGCATTGTAGGTAATGGTCAGTGCATTGTAAACATGTCTAGTAAACTTTTTTTTTTTAGTAAACTTTTCTTTAGAATCAAAGATCGATTGTTCAGCTGTCTTCTTATAACAGCTGTCTATATATATAAAACTCAAAGGTGACTGACTGACATAGTGATCTATCAACGCACAGCCCAAACCACTGGACGGATCGGGCTGAAATTTGGCATGCAGGTAGATGTTATGACGTAGGCATCCGCTAAGAAAGGATTTTGATCAATTTTACCCCCAAGAGGATAAAATAGGGAATGACAGTTTGTATGAAACTGTGTCAATTTTAAACCGATCGGGCTGAGACTTTGCATGCAGGTATATAAGAAGATTTAATAATAAATTGAATTGCATTCACTGTTTTTTTTTAAATCGCCTGCTACAACAGGATATCAAACTCGTGAAATTTAAAAAAATTAACAGATATATTTTATGATAACCTTCAAAATTCATAAGGATTATTATTTCCTAAATAACATGGCATTTGAAATGAAAGAAAAATCACGAAATTTTACTTTTTTTTTAATAATTGAACACAAGCTACAATAAAAAAGGAACGGTGCTGGGTTCGTGTAAGTATCGCTTTAATATTTTGTCCACGTACTTATAGTAAGAAAAACCTGTATTATAAAATGAGCAGGTACTAGTTAGTAAATACTTTGAAATGATAACATTATAATTAATGAGACGGAAAAATAAGAGGAAATTATACTAAACAAAACTGTAACAACATGATTTTCCTTTCATTTAAATGATATGTTATTTAGGAGAAAAGAATCCTTATGATTTAACCTTTCGATGGTTATTTTTTTATTATTTCGCGAGTTTGATTCCCAGTTGTAGCAGGTGATTTTTAAAAAAATCTTTGAATTAAGTCTTGTTCTAATTAAAAATAAAATGGTGTATTTTTTGAGTGAAATATCCTATCTTGAATATTTATACTTTCCCTTCGTGTGACAAACACATGGGATACTCTGTATAAACCCAAAGATTAATGAATTCACTTCCCGTCATAAAAAGAATCCCCCGTTCTGCACGGCCTTCATAGTCCAGTCAACAAGTTCAAAAACGAGAAAAATAGAGATAAAGCTCCTAAAAATATGAGCAATAGCTCATTGGATTCGGAAAGGCCTCTAGAAAAATGAGTTTTGAGGATTTTACTGCACGTAAAAAATTGCAATTGTTATTAACAAAATAAGATGAAAAAAAAGAGGTATTTACGTTTTTGTTAATAACTCATAAACTTTTAATATTTACGATATTTGGAAAAAAGGTCCTTAAAGAGGAGGAAATTTCCAAAAAAAAGTCCCAGCTCCCGAAACTCTACCTCTATTATTTATAATTTTAATTTAACGCTGAAAATAGGGCTCCGCGCAGCCATTACGGCATGGGCGCACTGCCGTTAAAGACAGTTTCTTACATAAAATTATTTTTTTATAGTAACAAATATGAATTTAAAAATTTAAATAAATTATGGTGTCAACCAGATACTTGAAAGAATATATTCCCGTTGGAAAAAAAAAATTAAATTAATTTTTCAAAAAGTTATGCAATTGTTAATTAACGATTTTTTTTCCTATCTCCGTTTTCATAAATGACGACATAAAAAGTTAAATAATAAACCTATAAATTTTTGGCTCTGTGGAGCTCTTCTTATATATATATACTTAACAAGATCCCGCGATAAAAGTTTATTAAAGTTAATTATTTTGTTTATAACAATTTTTTAAAGTTAACAAAAAATGAAAAGTCTAAGAAATGTTATTAAAAAATTTTTTTTAAACAAATGTTATATTATTGCTGCTTTCTTATCCAACAATGGCATTAAGTAACATCGGAAAAATATTTTTTACATCATTTGTTAAGAAATTGTTTATAAACAAATAGACAAGTTTAATATTTAAAGAATTTTTTTTTTACCATTATGTTGTCTTGGCAAAATAATGATTTTTTAAAAAAAAAAATACCTTAAATAAATTTTTTTATTGTTTATAATCGTTTTTTTTATATTTCGATTGTTTAAATAATTAGTTAAGGAATGATTTTCTCTTTAAAAATCATAATTGGCATTTCTTCATAGGTAAATAGAAAAAAAAATTTAATCAATAATTTCATTGTTTGTTAACTTAACAATTTGTTATAAACAAATTCTAACTACCGTTATATTTTTTTTCTAGAGATAAAAAAAATAACAAAAACAGCCATATATATCAAAATACTAAAAAAATTTTTTTTCTTTTTTTTATAACGCTTTAAAATATTACACGATACCAAAGTTGCACCGGACACTTGATTTGTCAAGTAAAAAATTAGTATAACTTATAAACTATTCGAGATACGATAATGGACATTCAGGTCGTTTTTATAAAGCATTAATTAATCTTCAAAATAAGCTAAAAACCAAGTTTGTAACTATTGTTTATCAGCTAATACATGCATTTGTTTATAAAATTTTGAGATTTCTTTAACTTTTTCGTATCTCTTATGACTTACAACTTAATAAATAATTAAAATACAGCTATAAACCTTAAAACAATTTTGTTTAGCGATACATTATCTCCCAAATTATCAATTAATCGTACCTCCATCTCTAATTGTTTAAACAGTATACGTGATTTAATTAATATTTATTTAATATTTATCTAACACTTACCTTCATTTTGTAATTTTTTAATTTTCTCTACATTATTATAAGTTATTATAGCTTCTAAGTGAAACTGATTTTATCATTTATTTAAATAAATAGTTTCTTCGATGTCATTAAGTATTTTGTTTTCATATTTTTTATAGTTTGATCTGCCGTATCTTCTAAATTTTTACATGTAAACCATATTTTTATATATTTTATTATAATTAAATAGAATTACATTTATTGGTGTGAAAAAAATATTAGAAATAATATTAGGATAAAATGGATTTATAAAATAAAAGTCACTGTTTTATAATAATAATTCTAAATATATTTGAGGAAATAATACAATGCAATAATACAAATTCAAATAGTTCGTTTCCTTTTTCTTTAAGGGAGGGATTGCAGAACAGCTTGGTCTATCGAAGTTTTGAACTGAACTAGTTGACACCTTTTCTGTCATATTAGAGATGGAGGTACGATTAATTGATAATTTGGGAGATAATGTATCGCTAAACAAAATTGTTTTAAGGTTTATAGCTGTATTTTAATTATTTATTAAGTTGTAAGTCATAAGAGATACGAAAAAGTTAAAGAAATCTCAAAATTTTATAAACAAATGCATGTATTAGCTGATAAACAATAGTTACAAACTTGGTTTTTAGCTTATTTTGAAGATTAATTAATGCTTTATAAAAACGACCTGAATGTCCATTATCGTATCTCGAATAGTTTATAAGTTATACTAATTTTTTACTTGACAAATCAAGTGTCCGGTGCAACTTTGGTATCGTGTAATATTTTAAAGCGTTATAAAAAATAGAAAAATTTTTTTTTTAGTATTTTGATATATATGGCTGTTTTTGTTATTTTTTTTAGCTCTAGAAAAAAAATATAACAGTAGTTAGAATTTGTTTATAACAAATTGTTAAGTTAACAAACAATGAAATTATTGATGATTTTTTTTTTTTTACCTATGAAGAAATGCCAATTATGATTTTTAAAGAGAAAATCATTCCTTAACTAATTATTTAAACAATCGAAATATAAAAAAACGATTATAAACAATAAAAAAATTTATTTAAGAAATTTTTTTTTTTAAAAATCATTATTTTGCCAAGACAACATAATGGTAAAAAAAAAATTCTTTAAATATTAAACTTGTCTATTTGTTTATAAACAATTTCTTAACAAATGATGTAAAATTTTTTTTTCCGATGTTACTTAATGCCATTGTTGGATAAGAAAGCAGCAATAATATAACATTTGTTTAAAAAAAATTTTTTAATAACATTTCTTAGACTTTTCATTTTTTGTTAACTTTAAAAAATTGTTATAAACAAAAAAATTAACTTTAATAAACTTTTATCGCGGGATCTTGTTAAGTATATATATAAGAAGAGCTCCACAGAGCCAAAAATTTATAGGTTTATTATTTAAATTTTTATGTCGTCATTTATGAAAACGGAGATAGGAAAAAAATTCGTTAATTAACAATTGCATAACTTTTTGGAAAATTAATTTAAAAAAAAAATTCCAACGGGAATATATTCTTTCAAGTATCTGGATGACACCATAATTTATTTAAATTTTTAAATTTATATTTGTTACTATAAAAAAATAATTTTATGTAAGAAACTGTCTTTAACGGCAGTGCGCCCATGCAGTAATGGCTGCGCGGAGCCCTATTTTCAGCGTTAAATTAAAATTATAAATAATAGAGGTAGAGTTCCGGGAGCTGGGACTTTTTTTTCGGAAATTTCCTCCTCTTTAAGGACCTTTTTTCCAAATATCGTAAATATTAATAGTTTATGAGTTATTAACAAAAACGTAAATACCTCTATTTTTTCATCTTATTTTGTTAATAACAATTGCAATTTTTTACGTGCAGTAAAATCCTCAAAACTCATTTTTCTAGAGGTCGTTCCGAATCCAATGAGCTATTGCTCATATTTTTAGGAGCTTTATCTCTATTTTTCACGTTTTTGAACTTGTTGACTGGACTATCAGTCGCGGTTTCTTTATCGCAATGCATCGAGCATGTATTAAGAGTAAACACGTCTGAGAGCTGGGCAGAACTCTTAACGTTTTCCTTTAGAATTTTACACATCTCTTATCTATTAGACAAGTCCGTCCGTCTGTCTGTCTGTGGTGCTGTTTCAGCGGCCAAACCGTAAGAGATAGATAAAGAGAATATTTAAGTTATAAGTTAAGAATAGTCTGATAAGACTAAAAACCGGATTTGAGTAACGTAGCACTTCCGGTTTTCGAGAAATCTCGAATTTCAAACGAAACCACACAAAATCTCCGAAGTTCTCAATTAATTAAATACATTTTTTTTTAAATCAGTTTTTGGTGAACATTTGGTTCACTGGTTTGCTAGTTAACCAAAATAGCAATTGTACTTTTCTAACACAAAAAATAAAGGAGAACTGCCGCCTAAATCCTTCCGTTTATTCACTTGTCATTCCTCCCTCTCGGCCTTCAAATTCTAATTATTTCTTCTTAGTCGTTCACTCTTGTCAGAGTGGTCGTGGTCATATGCCGGTCAGAATATTGCGCCACCGCTTCCTTCGTGATGCGACGCCATGTTGCTCTGTGTTTTGCAGAGTGGGAGTTGAAAATCCCTTGTAATTCTTCTTAGTCGTTCACTCTTGTCAGAGTGGTCGTGGTCACGTGCCGGTCAGAATATTGCGCCACCGCTTCCTTCGTGATGCGACGCCGTGATGCGACGCCATGTTGCTCTGTGTTTTGCAGAGTGGGAGTTGAAAATCCCTTGTAATTCTTCTTAGTCGTTCACTCTTGTCAGAGTGGTCGTGGTCACGTGCCGGTCAGAATATTGCGCCACCGCTTCCTTCGTGATGCGACGCCATGTTGCTCTGTGTTTTGCAAAGTGGGAGTTGAAAATCCCTTGTAATTCTTCTTAGTCGTTCACTCTTGTCAGAGTGGTCGTGGTCACGTGCCGGTCAGAATATTGCGCCACCGCTTCCTTCGTGATGCGACGCCATGTTGCTCTGTGTTTTGCAGAGTGGGAGTTGAAAATCCCTTGTAATTCTTCTTAGTCGTTCACTCTTGTCAGAGTGGTCGTGGTCACGTGCCGGTCAGAATATTGCGCCACCGCTTCCTTCGTGATGCGACGCCGTGATGCGACGCCATGTTGCTCTGTGTTTTGCAGAGTGGGAGTTGAAAATCCCTTGTAATTCTTCTTAGTCGTTCACTCTTGTCAGAGTGGTCGTGGTCACGTGCCGGTCAGAATATTGCGCCACCGCTTCCTTCGTGATGCGACGCCATGTTGCTCTGTGTTTTGCAGAGTGGGAGTTGAAAATCCCTTGTAATTCTTCTTAGTCGTTCACTCTTGTCAGAGTGGTCGTGGTCACGTGCCGGTCAGAATATTGCGCCACCGCTTCCTTCGTGATGCGACGCCATGTTGCTCGGTGTTTTGCAGAGTGGGAGTTGTCGTTGATGCTGAATCGTGTGACAGATTTGATGAGATCCGTCCACCGTGTAGGAGAGCGTCCACGTGATCTTTTGCCCTCGACTTTGCCTTGCACCACCAATCGTTCCATAGTTTCCTCGTTACGGGTAATATGCCCAAAGAACTTGAGGATACGTATTTGCACAGTCGAAGATAACCTCTTTTTAATTTGGAGTTCTTTTAGAATCGCCATTCCTTTTATGTCCTTCTCTTCAGGGCACACCACTGGAGCTAGAGAGCAGTATCACCATGCTCGGTATGGAGATTCGCTGTGACTTAAATCCAAAGAATTACATCGAAAGTGTGATAAAAACAGCCTCACGCAAACTCGGGAGTCCTGAACAAGGTGCGGCGTTTCTTCACGCCCGAGCAACTGTGCTTGTTGTATAAGACGCAGGTGCGGTCTTGCGTGGAATATTGCTCGCACCTCTGGGATGGCTCCGCCAAGTACTTGCTCGATGCTTTGGATAGGTTACAGCGGCGCGCAATCCGCATCATAGGCGATGAGGAGGTGACTAAACACCTCGAGCCTCTTCAATTACGTCGTGACGTGGCGTCACTAAGCGCGTTCTATCGTCTGTACCACGGCGAGTGTTCTGAGGAGTTATTCTCTCTTATTCCACCTTCCCCTTTCCTTCAGAGGACCACGCGCGCTGGCTTACGTTGTCACCGTCTAACTGTGGCTACAATTCCAACGCGTACAAAGAAATTTGGTGACTCATTTCTTTGTCGTACTATCCGTAAATGGAATTCTCTGCCCGCCCACGTGTTCCCTCCCTCTTACAACCTGGGATCCTTTAAAAGAGGCGTGAAGAAGCAACTTGCAGGCCGGCAGGGTGAGGATGGCTGGTGTGGCAGTTAGAACTGCTGTATCAGCTATCTTCGAGTCTGGACTTCACCTTCACTTAACATCAGGTGGGGTGGAGTCATTTGTCGGATCTATCTATAAAAATAAAAAAAAGAATCGAAACATTGGTTCGGTGCGCAGTCCACGGGATGAGAAGCATGCGTCTTCAGCACCACATTTCTAGAGCGTCAATCTTGCGACGGTCTCGCATCCTCCTCCTCCTCCATTCTAATTATACCACCAAATTAATAGAGTCAAAAATTAGCGATGGCGATCTCCGAGGAGCCGCCAACCTTTTGTTTAGTAATGATGTTGTCGCCGTCAACTGCCAGGAGACCCTTAGTGCTCTTGAAGATAAACACCCACCTCCAGCACAAAATCTTCTCCTACCTTCGCCACCTGATTCAACTCAAAATGCTCATTTAATAAGCAAAGAAGCTGACATCTCAGCTGCAATATTCTCATTCAAAAGCGGCTCTGCCAGTGGTCTAGATGGGCTTAAGACCTTATTTCCGTCTCAGTCGGTGACGCTGGCAGAGCCTTATTACATAACATTACTCTTTTGGTTAATTTAATGCTATCCGGCGAAGTTCCCGAAGATATTGTTGAGATTTTTTACGGAGCCAACTTAATTGTTTTAAAGAAAAAAGTCGCCCCATAGCTGTTGGCTCCACCTTTCCCTAGTTTGATGTCATTTTGTGTTTTAAGTGCCCCTTTGATTGTTACACCGCTTGAGATTTACTTTCAGTATATGTTTTTCGATGAATTAGCATACATTTTGTAATAAAATTTAGAACTGGTTTAGAGGAATGCTGCTCGACGATAGCGATGGAGATTCGGAGATACTAATTTATAAGGGATAGGGCATAGAGATTTATGTTGCATATTATAATATTTTGTGTATAAATTAATAATTGATTATTTATTTATACAATAATATAATAAGTCCCCATGGTAAAGCCCATAGACATATCACATTGGGCCCAATCCTGGCATGATTCTAATCCTTAATTTAAATTTGTCAAGAGTGTATGTAGTCCTTGTCATATTATTATCACTCTTTACAGAATGAAAAGGAGAGACTGCTGTCAAATTTGGAGAATCATGCCAGAATCGGGCCTATTGTGGAGGAATGGATTGAATTGGTTGTCCATGGCGGATTGTAAACCTCCCTAATATCGAAACGTAGATTACAGATCGATCCATGGCACATGAACAATCTAGGATTGGTTTTGGTCTAAGATTATAGATTGAATATTGGGGTCGGCCGTTAGTCAGTCAGATAGATTTTCAAAAAATAATGGACCGTGTCTTTTTGACAATCAACTCAATAATTACAAAGATGAAGGCCGTCAAAGTTTGGGAGTGACGCTAGTTTTAAGTGAAAATTATGCGAATATGTGACGTCACGGAACATTACTAAACGTATTTTTGTAATGTTCTGATTATGTGAATAAAGTACAAATGTTTTGGACACCCAAAACTTTTTGATAATGTACCTAACAATACGAAGCAAAAAAAATGTCCCTATTTTAGACACAAATGAAATCTTCCTTACGTCACAACACGACAAAATTATGCAATCAGTTAGGGAAACTATTCAGAATTAGGATTTACGGACAGATAATTACAATATCTCTTATCTATTAGACAAGTCCGTCTGTCTGTCTGTTTCAGCGGCCAAACCGTAAGAGATAGATAAAGAGAATATTTAAGTTATAAGTTAAGAATAGTCTGATAAGACTACAAACTGGATTTGAGTAACGTAGCACTTCCGGTTTTCGAGAAATCACGAATTTCAAACGAAACCGCACAAAATCTCCGAAGTTCTCAATTAATTAATTATTATTATTATTTTTTTAAATCAGGTTTTGGTGAACATTTGGTTCACTGGTTTGCTAGTATATTCTTAAGCCTCGATGACATGGCTAATTTACAAGCTGCTTGCGAACCCGCTGGCTTGAAAACTGGCCACGTGTCATCGAGGCTTTACAAACTAAAGTGAACATTATAAAATTTAACAAGCTTGCATTTGCAAAATGTCCCAACTTCGACCTGTAACCCCTCGTTTCCACCAAGAAACAAGTCATATACTAGTTTTAAACAAAACTTGTATAATACTCTTTGTACCCAACAAGTATTCTAGTAGACAACTAGTATCATACAAGTATAAATCACTTATTTACTTCACATATTTTGTTTATCCAACAAGTTTCATGCAAGTATTGTATACTACATGTTTTAAACATGTATATGTGTGAACAAAAAAATATGACAACATATAAAATTTGTTTGTAAATACATGTTTTATACCTTGGTGTAAACGAGGGGTAAGATTACAACCTATGATAACTACAGAGCAGAGTACTGCCCTACTCTGCCCTACACTACACTACATTACGCCACCCTACACTACATCATAGGTTGTAATCTTACCCCTCGCTTACACCAAGGTCTTAATTTTTTTGACAACATAAAATTTGTAAAATTTATACATGTTGTATACCTTGGTGTAAATGAGGGGTAAGATTACAACCTATGATGTAGTTTAGGGTGGCGTAATGTAGTGCAGTGTAGTGTAGTGTAACGTAGGGCAGAGTAGGGCAGTGTAGGGCAGTATACAGTACACTCACGTCTATGGAGCAGTGGTAGAACTGTCCCCGGGCGCCGCCACATACGAATTTGTCGCCAGAAGAATGCCACGCGGCCGCTGTCAGGGAGTCTTCTTGAGAATGGGACATTTTTAGGTGCAGTGTCTCCGTCTGAAACAACCTCGTCATTACACTTTGGGGAAGAAAACTGTCAATTTATGTCGAATAGCCTATGGCAACAAATCGAAAAAGCTGTCAAAGTCACAAGGAAAACCGATGAATTCCGATAGACTTGGGCTGCGTTCTATACCTACGCTCCAGGCGCAATAAATGTCTGACATAAGTTTCACACATTTTATGTCAAAACTAGCGGCCCGCCCTCGCTTCGCTTCGGTGTAGAGCTGAAGTGTAGACTACAGTTTTTGTTCTCAGGCTTGTTTTATACACAATGGCATTCATCTATGATTCTTCTTACACCTGCATGCAAAGTCTCAGTCCGATCAGTATAAAATTGACAAAGTTTCATACAAAATGTCATTCCCTATTTTATCCCTTGGGGGTAGAATTGATTAAAATCCTTTCTTAGCGGATGCTTACGTCATAACATCTACCTGCATGCCAAATTTCAGCCCGATCCGTCCAGTGGTTTGGGCTGTACGTTGATAGATCACTATGTCAGTCAGTCACTTTTGAGTTTTATATATATATAGATATAGGTTGCTTTCCAATTACAGCATTATTGCGCATTATGCGGCATAATGCTTAACGTTGAGTGTTCCAACTACAGCAACGCTTCTCACAATTGAGCACTCTCAAAAGTAATGCTTTCGTGTGATGCGTGCAATGGTACCAACTTAGAGACAGAAAATTAACAAGTGTTTTTTCTTTAAGTTGGCATTGATCGAAATGTTTTATTTATATGTTATCGTTAGTAATATTATTTATTGTTGAAAAATTATTAAAGCTTTCGTTTCATTAAATAGTTTTTTTTTAAATAATCAAAGTTCATTCAAACTGTTAAAAAATAAATATAAGTATGGATGAAGGTACAAACATTGACTTTTTTTTTCAACACTGAACTTAGCGCACTCTGCTGGTGCATTTGAAAACTAATTCACGTTCCAATTAACTCCTCATCCTCATCAGCCTATTAATGTCCCCACTGCTGGGGTACAGGCCTTCTCTATGGATGGAATAGGGAGATTGGGCCATGACCCACCACGCGGGCCCAGTGCGGATTGGTGGGTGCTAACGACTGCAAATGCAGCCGGGACCAACGGCTTAACGTGCCTTCCGAAGCACGGAGGAGCTCGAGATAGTAAAGTTTTGGTCACCCATCCAATGACCAACCACTGCGAAAGTTGCTTAACTTCAACGATCGCAGCCGAACGCGCTAGCCACCCGCGCTATCGAGCCCTCTATTCGCTCCTCCGCTATTAAGCATCAGCATAATTGGGCATTGTGCGGCACTGAGTCGCATTATGCTCTGTGATTGGAAAGCATACATAGATTCGAACAAGTTGCACCCAGAGCTTAGGTTTAGAACGTAGTCTTGAAGTGACAGATTGCTTGTTATGGCCCAAACGGCCGTAGCGCCATCTGTAATGACCTATGCGTTTTCTCCCCCATTGTGTACTGTCTTCATTTTATTATACAATATTAATTTACTCGTACCAACATTTGTATACAGCCAAAACAGTAATTCAAACATTCCGAGTTGTTTAAAGTCCAACTGTAATAAATACTTAAAGGTAAATATATCATGCAATTAAACAAATAATAGTTATCTCATATTGATGTCATTTTTCAATTTGACGACTATGTACGAGTATATAATACAGGGAGAAAAAACAGCCCTGGCTGAATTTCTTGCCGGTTCTTCTCAGTACAAGGTCTCCCGCCGTAGATTTGCAAAACGATGGCGTAGCTTTTCGACATTCATTAGTGCTTGTAACAGCCTAGACTGAATAAACGATATTGTACTTTTTTATATATTTTTTATTTTTTCAGCATTTAACTGCTAGATGATCTAAAGAAAATGTTACGTGGCCCTTCACTATCCGGGCGAATGCACTGACCATTATGCTACCGCGACCCTGATGGCCGTGCCGAATTATTTCTAGCTTTTGTGCCATTTCTTCGCATTTTAGGTAACCCACAATGTCAAGTGAATACCTTTGTTTTAATCTAAAGAAAAGTTTTACTAGAAAAAATATCCACGCGGACGGGACTCGAACCCGCACCCTTCGCAATCCGGGCGAATGCACTGACCAATTATGCTACCGCTATGATATTTTTCTAGTAAAACTTTTCTTTAGATTTAAACATCTAGCAGATCTAAATGCTTAAAAAAACATAACTACCTTTGTATTTTTATTTCTTTTTTATTGTTGACTGGTTTTATGTGTTTTTTAATAGCAATCTATTATTCTATATATATTATATATTATTCTTTAATAACGTCAGTGAACATGAAATTTAAAACAATATCTTATATATAAAATTCTCGTGTCGCGGTGTTTGTGGTTAAACTCCTCCGAAACGGCTTTACCGATTATCATGAAATTTTGTGTGCATATTGGGTAGGTCTGAGAATCGGACAACATCTATTTTTCACCCCTCTAAATGTTAAGGGTAATCCAGCCCTAACTTTTTTTTTCAATTTTTAGATATATTTTTTTTATTTTTTTTTATGATTGAGATGACAACCCTAAATTTTCACCTTTCTACCACCAACCCCTATTTTTTTATGGCGGTACGAAGTTCGCTGGGACAGCTAGTAATCATATAAATACCTGCATGTTCCATATCCACAGGTCTGGACAGTCCTCAGGCCCGGCGCACAGCAGGTAGCGCCCGTCGGGGCTCCAGCTCACGAAAGATACGCCGTACGAATGACCTTCTAACGATTTCCTGCGTAAAAAAATAAACCATCATAAGGTCATCCTACTATGTTGAAAGAAACGAGACAAAATCGCTACAAGAATTTGGCATAGATAACGGATAGATGAACATGTTGAAAAACAAGCACTAAAACAATGAAAATAGCATCTCTAAAAAGTGTCTTGTTGGTAATTTTCAGTACATCATTTATTGCCTTCGAAGGCAGGCAGGAGTTGATGTTAAGTGGTCATCAATGCCAGTCAAATAGCCATACCGCTGCCTTTCGTAGTTCTTTTTAAGCCTCGTTTGAGGAAGACCTCAAATTCTCCCATGCACCGATGGCGTAACTTCTTGACGTTCAGTAAAGACTAAGAATTTAGTCTTAAAAAGAACTACGAAAGGCAGCGGTATGGCTGTTTGACTGGCATTGATGACCACTTAACATCAACTCCTGCCTGCCTTCGAAGGCAATAAATGATGTACTGAAAATTACCAACAAGATTGATTAATTTAGTAATCAAATTAAGTTTAGTAAACAAGGTTTCTTCTCTTCTATCTCGGCTAAGCCTTTGGCCCGGCTGCATCTACAATCGTTAGCACCCGCCAATCCGCACTCGGCCCGCGTGGTGGGTCATGGCATAATTTCCCTATTCCAACCATAGGGAATGCCCAGCAGTGGGGACATAAATAGGCTGATGATGATGATGATGAATCAAGGTTTACAGTAGATCTGTTGTTCATTAGTTAATAGATGTAATTGAGTAGATTTTGCTTAATAGTTTGTTTTGTCACAAAACTCTCGAAACAAACCCACGAAAAATATTAGAGACCGAATATACCAGAACACCGCGGATAGGTTGAGTGGTGTGGCTCATTCAAATATGAGCCTTATGCAGTTCGGCGTAAGGGAAAAAGTGCAACGACATCTGCATTTGTTTACGAATAGTGGTGATGTCGGGGTACAGTTAACGAAATTCTATTTAGTCCGTCAGTAAGATGATCAAAAAATAATGGACACATATTTTTTCTTTGGGCGATCAACCATAAAATGACAAAGGTATAGCGCGTCAAAGTTTGGGAGTAGGGGCTCGTGACGTCACTTTTATGTGAAAATAGGGATGATGACTAATTTTTTTTTCTTCATTTATCAGGTAGATGATCAAAAACTATTGGACACGTATTTTTTCTTTTTTCACATAATATAAACATTGCAAAGATATATTGATTTGAAAAGTCGCATGACGTCACGTTTGAGTACACTTATAAGTGAAAATTCACTCAAAAGTGACGTCACGAGCCCCTACTCCCAAACTTTGACGCGCTATAACTTTGTTATTTTTTGGTTGATTGCCCAAAAATAATATACGTGTCCATTATTTTTTGATCATCTAACTAATAGAATTTGTTTACTGTACCCCGTCATCACCCCTATTGTACCAAAACGTGACATCATGCGACTTTTCAAATCAATATATCTCTGCAATGTTTATATAATGTGAAAAAAGAAAAAATAGGTCTCCTATACTTCTTTATAATCTCCTCCTAAACGAAGAAAAAAAATAGTCATCATCCCTATTATGCGCGTTACCTACATAGGTATAAGCAGGTACTACGCACTCGCGGATGCTAATTAACTCTCAATTTACCGGGTATTTTCTAGAATGCGTCGATTGGCGTATATAAGCGCGTTCAGCGCCGCGCAGAGACAGTTGAGTTTCAACAGTGATTTCGGAACGAATACTAAGGCGATCAAAGTACACCTAAAGTGTTTCGTAATTAACATTGTGTGTTAATTGTGTGAACTGTGTGGTGAATAAAGTACTGTAAAGCGTGAACTGGCATATAATTTCGAACCCCATCCCGACACGTAACAGTATTGTCGTATAAAATGGTGTTGGTAAAATATGTACTGTAAATCGAATGGCCAAAGTCATGATCGGAGTGTAACACGAAGGGATCTCACCTGAAGGAGAGTCGTTTGGCGACCGGGTCGTAGTCCCATATCATGACGGTGTTGTCCTTGGACCCTGAGGCCAGTTTGGAGCCGTCCGGAGACCATTTGCAGTACCACACTTCGTCGCAATGCTCGTTCAGAACCTGACACAATTAAGTTTTTTTTAAATAAAACAAGTTTCACGGTATATATTAGGTGTGAGCGTTCTAAAGACGAACCTGTTTCAAGGACCGTTTAGCGTTCCGCGACGGTAGAACCGTTTTACGTTTCGGATCAAAACAGTCTTCGTCGAACAACTAGTCCTCGGATTGTCTACACGCCAATTTGTACTTAATGATGAAGTAAATACAGTCTATAATAGAACGCAATGATATGAGACCGTTTCGTTCTATGATAATTAAGCTTTGATTTTACTAATAATATAATCTTTATTGTTGAAAATTTAAGTCGATTATCGTATAACACTACTTTTATTTCGATGTTTCGTCGTCTCGTTCGCAGCACGGTGGCGCCAGTGGCGATGGCGAGATAGAGGTTCATTCATTTATTTATTTATTAAAATTGGAAACAAATAAAATTTATTTAGAACCACAAGTTGGCATTGCAAATTAGCAATTCTTTTTTCACTCGTTGAAACGAACGTTGACAATATTTTGTTTAGTTTAGTTTCATTACGTTACATTCGTTCGACCGTCGCGTCGCGTGTAGTTTCGTTGCGTCACCCAGCCGTAACCAAAACCAGTTGCGGACGAGAACCGTTTCGAGGACTAGTTTTCGTTTAAGAAAAAACGGTTGTGTTTCGTCGTCAAAAAAATTGAGAACGACCCATCGCTAGTATAGATGCATTGATTAATTTATTTATTCATTGACGTTTTGCATCCTTTTCGGGATGTGTCGTCTGAATTATGAATTATATCCTGAAAAGGATGTGAATCGCCAATAAATAAATAAATCAGTACATCTATTGTCCGTGTGCGGTAGCGGAAGCGGCATACTTCTAGAGCAAATCCATGGACAAATCAACTTCCTTAGTATGCAAAATTGCTACTGCGTAAGCTTCCTTGTTGACGGTCTTTGCTCTGGAAGTTTGCCGGGGTTTATACTGACCTGCAGCGAGTGTATGGGGAACCGGTCGGCGGAGCAGTGGTGGTCGGCCAGCAGCGTGAAGGGCACGTGGTCGGGCCGCGGCTCGCCCCGCGGCTCCGCGTGGAAGCGGCAACGCGCCGCCTGCACAGGAGGAGATGGTGGTAATGAAAAGGGAAAACAGTTGGGAGTCCACTAACAATCTACTATGCAACGTATTCACTACATTTTTCGAGTGTCATTAGATTTGTTTGTTGTTTGTGAGAACTTGTAAAACGTTTTATATATTTGATCATCATGAGGGCGGGCGGCAGGGCGTGCTGCACGCGCGCCTCACACACTGGTGGGGGCGGGCGGGGTACACACCTGGTGGGCGGCGGCCTGCGCCAGCAGCGCGCGCAGGCGGGCGGGCGGCATCATGAGGGCGGGCGGCAGGGCGTGCTGCACGCGCGCCTCACACACTGGTGGGGGCGGGCGGGGTACACACCTGGTGGGCGGCGGCCTGCGCCAGCAGCGCGCGCAGGCGGGCGGGCGGCATCATGAGGGCGGGCGGCAGGGCGTGCTGCACGCGCGCCTCACACACTGGTGGGGGCGGGCGGGGTACACACCTGGTGGGCGGCGGCCTGCGCCAGCAGCGCGCGCAGGCGGGCGGGCGGCATCATGAGGGCGGGCGGCAGGGCGTGCTGCACGCGCGCCTCACACACTGGTGGGGGCGGGCGGGGTACACACCTGGTGGGCGGCGGCCTGCGCCAGCAGCGCGCGCAGGCGGGCGGGCGGCATCATGAGGGCGGGCGGCAGGGCGTGCTGCACGCGCGCCTCACACACTGGTGGGGGCGGGCGGGGTACACACCTGGTGGGCGGCGGCCTGCGCCAGCAGCGCGCGCAGGCGGGCGGGCGGCATCATGAGGGCGGGCGGCAGGGCGTGCTGCACGCGCGCCTCACACACTGGTGGGGGCGGGCGGGGTACACACCTGGTGGGCGGCGGCCTGCGCCAGCAGCGCGCGCAGGCGGGCGGGCGGCATCATGAGGGCGGGCGGCAGGGCGTGCTGCACGCGCGCCAGTACAGAGTGTCGTGCCGCGCCGCCCGCCCACTGCGCCCGCGCGCGGAGCTCTGCAGCGTCGGCGCACATCATGAGCGCGGACAGGCGGTGCACGCGCGCGGTGTCATGCTGCAGCGGCGTGAGCTCGTTGCGCAGAACGTGCAGCGCGTCCAGCGCCCGCCCCGCCTCCAGGTGCTCCAGGTACTTTTGCTCCAGCACCACGAACTTCATTTCCTGCGCAGAAGGTATACTCCTGTCTCAGCCCGCCCGTTATCATTATCTCGCACTAAATTAAAAGCTTCGAAAGTCAGCTTATATAACACCTCTCTTTACCAATGTCGGATTGAAAAAGATAGCAAAAAGAGAATGTTTTCGAAAGGTAGACCGCTTATCTGAGTCCTCGCCTGCGGGGTAAAGGGTATGAATGAGGGAGGACGAAAACTGGGACCGTGAAAGGTGCCGGTGGCAGGCACATTCTTGTCAAAATTATAAGTGCCCACCGCCTGCACCTCTCAAGGTCCCCGTTCTCGTCCTCCCTCACATATTTCAAAATAATAGACCCAAAGTCACATTTTCTTTATCACTATCAATTTATACGCGACTGCTAAAAATATCAGATGCAATAAAAAGATTTCGTAGAAGTATAATGCTACTTCACCCCAATACGAACAGATCCTATCCTATCTTTGTAAACATTTCCTAAAAGCACCAACTCACGGCCAGATTCTGAGGCTCCAGGTGGTGCGAGTCACGCAGCAGGTCGTGCAGCGCACGCAGATCGTGGTCGGCCTTCACCCAGTCGCCGGCCAGCACGTGCTGCCGGAACGTGGCCGCCGCTGGGTGCTCTAGGTGCAGACCCGACTCCTCCATCAGCAATGCGGCGCTGCGTCTGCGACAAACGAGCGCCAATGATGTTACAGCAATTGAATGATATTACAGCTTATTATGCTTATGTGGAAACGATATTAAGATACGGTCTTATAATCTGGGGAAATGGCACGGACATTAAAAAAGTGTTTGTATGCCAAAAAAGGTGTATACGGGCAATTTGTAATACAGCCCCGGATGTTTCTTGTAGAACATATTTTAAGGACCTAAATATTTTAACTGACTTCTTTGTACATTCTCGAAGTAGCAACTTTTGTAAAGCAGCACTACCATTTGTATACAGTCGCAAAAGATGTAACAGATCGAAGTCTGAGGTATCCTAATAAAATAAAAATGGACATAGTTCCGAAAACAAAGCGATTCCACACAAAATGCACCGGCGGTGGCAATTAAAATTTATAATCAAATTCTAAAAATTAATTTATAATAAAATTAAAAATGGGTTAAAGACATGCTTAATGGATTTAAATACACTTCTGGACACATCTATTGGCCCACCTTAGAGTTTAGGTTTCGATGGCCCCTACCGAAATATTATTGCTAGATTGAACAAAAACTGTTGATGCATAAACCTGATACATTTTACCATCTTTTTCGATCGTATTCTGTTAAATTTGAATTCAGAATACCATACGACCTGGAGCTACGCCTAACAAGTCGGATATGCGTCTTGTTAAAGGCAATTGATTTTTGAATAAAAAACATGTTTTATCAAATAAAGGTTTAATTTAATAACGCGTGTTGCCTCCATGGGCATCTACCACAGCTCTCATACGATTAGGCATAGAGTTTATCAACCGCTCTATGAAATTTTGAGGGATCATCTCCCATTCCTCTTCTATGGCAGTTTTCAACTCCTGCATCGTCTGGGCAACTGGCTGACGAGCCCTAACACGTCTTTTTAGCTCGTCCCACATGTGCTCAATGGGGTTCATGTCTGGGCTTCTGGCTGGCCAGTCCATAACTGTGATGACACAGTTATGGACTGATCACACACACATCCCGAAGATATTCCCTGACGATGCCGGCCGCATGGGCTCTTGCATTATCATGCATAAAAAGGAAATTTGGGCCCACATAGTCCGCCTATGGTATCACGTGAGGTTCTAAGCACTCACGAATGTACCTTTCAGTATTTAATGTTGGCAGCCGTGGTCCTGTAACAACCTCAAGTTGAGTTTTGCCGCTCGCGGATATACCGCCCCAGACAGTCCATGAGCCACCGCCATAAGCAAACCTCTCTTCAAAGCAGCATTGTGCGAAACGCTCTCCCTTACGTCGGTAGACCTTCTTCCTTCCATCATTGCCATGTAACACAATTTTAGACTCATCAGAAAAGAGTACACGGCTCCAATTTTGCTGTGTCCAATTTAAATGACTGCGTGCGAAATGAAGGCGCGCTGTTCGGTGGGCTCGCGTTAGTATGGGCCCATTAGCTGGCTTGTGTGGCACCATATCGCGTCTTTTTAACCTTCTCCGAACAGTTCGAGCACTCACAGATACTCCGTGGAAGTCGCGAATTTGTTTTTGTATCTCAATGGAGGTAAGGTGACGATTTCTCAAGCTGGTCGTCACGATGAATCGATCCTGCCTTTCAGTGGTGACCCGAGATCGTGGCCTTCCTTGGCGACGAACAAAGCCGCCAGTCTCTAGGTACCTCCGATAAACATTTCGGACCACAGATCGACTTAAATTAAGTTGAGCACTCACGTTTCTTTGGCTGTGTCCGGCCTGAATAAGTGCCACAGCCTGGGCGGCGACTTCAGGTGAAATATCCATAGATTATTGATAGAACCTCACCTTAATGTTAAGAATAAGTAATGTTTGTTGCAAAACCAAAGATATCAATCACTTTTTCAAGAATTAAATCCAAGTAAACCAATAAAACCAAGTTTTCTTAGTATTCGATTGTTTGATATCAACAAACAGGCTCCAAATTGTCTTTTATTTCTTTAAATTCTGTGTTCGAAATTCAAAAAAAGACTATTGAATGAAATTGTGAATGTGCCAGGTTCAAAACTACATAAAAACTTTTTGCTCGACCTAATATAAAATTTTAGCTAGGACCAAACAAAACTGAAAATAAAAGGTGGGCCAATAGATGTGTCCAGAAGTGTATAACATTTAATTCTGATTCTTTACAAGACCATTCTAATTATGACATTCACATAATTATGGACATGATAAATTGACGACATCGAATAATTAAAATATTATAATAAGAATTATTGACATTTATATAGGTAATTAATATAGGTAATTTAATAGAAAAATTTGCATGTTATCTTTATATGACTAAATAGGTTAAGAGACAACTTAGATGAAATGTAACACCATTATTTGTACCCTATTTAATGCAAATAAATTGAATTGAATTGAATGGCGTGTTTACCTTAGAGCCAAAAGGCGACAGGCTGCAAAGAACAGCAGAGGCCCAAGCAAAAAAATTTATATCTCGGTATCGGATTATATGAAAACCTAGCAGCATCCCTACCGGTAGCCTCTAGACTCTAGTAGTAGTAGTCCGGTTTTGAGTCCGGTACACCGAACTACTGGAACTGGATCTGAAGGCAACGGCGCGAGTAATATTTATTGTATGTAGGATATGGTGGCCGTTTACCATCAGGCAAGCCATAAGCTTGTTTACCACCCATTTAAGAGCCATCACCCCTGGTCCCCCCACCATTCTAAACAGTGTTCGTCAGAAGTGGTGGGTCCACCACTAGAGAAACATGTTGGTGGGACCCAGAGGTAATAGCCACATTTTTAACGGGTTAATGCACGAAACTTTATTTATTTATTGACGTTTCGTAGCCTTTTCGCTTCGTCAAAATAATAAAAAAGAGTTATCAATACCATTCGAGTGTCACTCAGTCCATCAAACGATCTCACCCCAACCAATGACTGATCCAATCAACATCAAAGGTATATGCTGCGCTGTGCTGTGCTTATGCTCTATTTAGTCTACTTGGTCCTCCAAGATTACTATGAGGCAGCAGACGAAGCACAACGCAGCAGCTCATGGCTCGCTTTTCTCCCGCACCCGCCGCCGTTGCGGTACCAGCTAGTTAGTAGTGCCAGTTATTTAGCACCGTTATGATTTGTAACTCGATGAAACGAAAATATAACAGTATTTGACACAAGGTAGGATCCGTAATTTTGGATCTCTGCAGGAGACAGACAGCCGAACGGTAACGGTCTTGGGTTGGGGTCGACACCAAATGATCGGAGATTCGAAACTGAGCTCGGTTATTTTTTTTCCATTTTTAAGCTATTAATAATTATTTATTTCTTTTATTAAGCTATTATTTATTTTTCGAAACAATTTAAGAATAGAATATTTAATTTTGCCCAGTATTTTACAGTACCTAGTCATGAAGGAGTTTTACGAGTTCACATTTTATAAGGTTTCACTGCTATCGCATGTGAACAGCACATGTCCGTTTTTTTGGAAGTGAAAACTTCTTTAACGGCGTTGTACACTTTTTTTGTAATGGGTAAAAAATGTTAAACTCGCGTCAGGACAAGTGACCTGATCGAAAATTCGTAAGACGGATGGAGAGTAGACAGCCAGCGCGGCGTAGGAGATTAAGTATAATGCGATTCAACTAAGAATAGGACCGACGGGGCGCCATATTGTGACGTCATGTCTGTCAATTCAAACCAAATAGGTAGAGTGAGCAAAAAAAGTTTTATCTAATAAAAGTAATTTACTAAGATTAAGTGAGAAAAAACATCAGATTTTTTTAATAATATTTATTTACTAAGATTGCGAAAAACACGGTTTTTAATAATATTTATTTATAAATAATAAAAAACACTTTTCAATTCCGCTCATCTCTGCATTACCGCGCCGGAGTAGTTATGAATAATCATGCACAATTACTAGGTCACATACGTACATGCATCCTTTATGTAAACGAAAGTTTTAAATCGAGTTTATGAACGCAACTTAAAATAACATTGGGTGGACGATTGAGGTTAACAACCAGTCATAGCCAAACCTCAATAAATGAAAATAAATATCAAACAATATTTATTATCAATATTTGTTATAGTTTGTTTATAAATGTTTGATTTTTATTCTAGAATAAGCTAATTGCTAAAAAATGGTTCCAAGTTTTTTTTCAAACCGTACTTTTTAGGCGACATTTGACAGATGCAGGTCATTGGCTTCCCTATTCTTATTTGAATCGCACTATATCCCACCCTCTCTTTCTACGGCGCGGCGAAAACGTATGCGCGATGTTCGTGTGTGTTTATGTAACAGCGTGTCACGCGCATCCATGGATGGTGACAGCTGATGGCTCGACCGTCTGTGTAGTGGCCACATTGCTGTGTATTCGTAAAATTCGTGTACATAAAGTGTTACTGATAATTAAAGCAATTCGTGCAAATTATTCCCTAAACCATTCCAAAATATCAAAAATGCACAACATTAATATTCAACTTTTCACTTCTGCCGGCACTCCCGGTGTGCAACCCGTCGTTTTTTTATTACGGAACCAATGGCTGATCTACATTTGCATCCACCTATTCATACTGATCCCGAGTATTTGTCATGGTCCATTCTTCTTAAGCCATCCAAGGCCCAACCCCCCCTGGGGGTCTGAAGAAAATAATACGAACTGTCACGCACGCGTTGTTTCAATGGCCGAATTTGAACATGAGCACAACCACAGCTTAATTAAGTCAACCTTAAGGCAGGTGCCGTGCCAGCAATGATTATGATGTAACATTCACGTACAATGACAGGCATTATACAGGGTTACAGGGAAAGTCGTACTGAATATTGAAGAACGTTATTATTCAGGTCATTTCTGATGGATTTGGTCCTATAATATGGTGTCCGAAACTTAACCGTTATGGAAATATTGGATATTAAAGACTTTTTTAAAAAATCCTATATTTTTTGGGTTTTTGTCGATTTTTTTGAAACTAGAGCTCCAAAGGTCCGATTTTTTAATGTATCTAGTTAGAAAACATGTCAGACAATAAAAA